AAAATACTGAAAAGAAATATGAGCAGACCTGATTCGCGAGTTTTCAGGACGTAAAACAATGGAATATCCCCGGCCTGGTGTCTAAGGATATATATGAGCGGTTTTGTGGATATATTGGTCTGAAACCCAGGATGATTACAGGGTGCCTTGGTGGGAGACTTGAGCTGGTCAACGTCGTAAAGTCGTTGAACTCCTCAAAGGTGCGTGAGAATCACCAATCAACAATCCATTTCTGTCACAAACTGTCACATCCCTCCCTTGGACGGGCACCCCTACATACAAACTTGAAGATAATGATAATACGGGGGGCACTGGATGTTCTACCGTATATCACATTGGATGAAGCTCATCCAGCGTTGACTCCCCGATTAGCCTACAGAAATACTATCCTATCTCCGCCAAGTGTGACAGCCGAGACATGCGTGCTGTTTGACACTGACGTCGCTAATAAACCCACTACCAAAAAAACACCTTCCGGCGGGCCCGGCATTGATCTGGGCCGACGCCAAACATTGCAGAACCACGCTGGGCCGCTGGCGGTCTCATCGTAATACATTAGAACTTGTTGAAGCGCCACCAGTACTGGTCAAGTAAAAATAACTTGAATCAAAATAGGATCAGTATCTCGCCAAACCCAGCCAAAGGTGAGCGGAGCACGCGTCAGACTCGCCCCGGCTAACGCGGCCACGTGATTGTTTTGCTCCATGGGCTAGGGAGTAATGTGCGGGGCCGATTCTTCTTGTCTTTTAGTGGGGGTGCCTACATCTTGACGCATGGACAAGGGAGGGCCTGTGTGCTGTCAGTGTTGATGGTTGGGTGGTGTGTGGTGCGGTGATGGTATTGGTCGGGCTCTCACAAAGCCATCGAACATATTAATTGCATTTCATCTGCAAGGACCCTGATATGCATATGCATCGATCCGGTTGGGGGAGGTTAGACTATTGTGTTGAAGCTTTCGTTCTCTTCTTTGCACGACTCTCATTTATTACCTCCCCTCACGGCTATGGTGGTCAGCCTCCTGAAAAGAGGAGTACCAGCCCCGAACCGACATCGAATGGTCCATTCAAAGTACAGCCACTACCATCCGATGTAACTCCTGCAGTTACAGGATCAAGGCTAAAGTCAGATGAGGCTGACATCGATGTGGCCGTTCAGCTGGGGAGCTACACCCAGAGCCACTCAAGTTGGCGGAATAGAGGGCCGGGCCAAAATAGGACTAGAATGTCAGCTAGACATCGTTCGAGGAAACAAATCGTGGGGTCACCAAAGATAGAGAGAGTAGCATGGATACTGAGGGCTGGGCCTGAGGCCTGAGGCACTGCGGTCAGCTCCTGGACAAAGCAAGCATTTCGTGGAATAGGGACAATCTCCTGTTGCGGACTCGTAGGCTGGTATATTCACGTTAGCACACCAACAAATGAGGGACGAGACGGAACGGCAACGCATCCCAGTCCAGAAACAGAAGTTGCATCGTGTCGCTGGGACCAGGCCACTCTGCAGCTGAGTGCTGCTGAGACCAATAGAGGTCGATAACATGATAAGCATTTATTGAGGGTGTATGGTCAAGAGTCTGATTGATGGCAGATTCGTTGCTGTGGCCAGCGCTTTATCAATTAAGCTGTACGTGATAACTAGGCCGAACTCGTTGAAACTGGGGTATTATAATTTCTGTATTGTGGTGCTACATAGTAAAAGATTCTCCGTGATAATGATATATGATAAAGTATAATGGTGATACAATGGTTTTTCTTCCTACCAGAGGGTATGTACTTGTCAAAGGAGTGGCACTGGATTTTTGAGGATTGAAGTGATTGTGATGGCGGGATGAGATATGAATGGTAGTAAATGCGGATAGTCGGGTGGGAGCAGGAGATTATGAGCGAGAGCGAAGTGCTGCCCATGCACCAACCCCAGCGGAAACGGCGATCAGGATGAATGCGATCAAGGCCCAGAGGCAGCGGCGGGCCCACTTGAGCTCGGCCGCACGGAGGGTCGCGATGATCGCCTCCCGCTCCTCCTCTGTCTTCTCAGGGAGCCACGCGGAAGATGGTGTAGATGGCGGTGCGCGGAGTGGAGACATCATGATGAAGGCGCCCATGACCCAAAATGGTGGGAATACTAAAGCAATACTGTCAGTAAACTGTTGCAAATTCGCATGAAATCCAAACTCACAGAATCCAAACTTGAACAGATACATGGCGAGCGTGATGTGCTCCGCCTTCTCGGTGTATGTGGGAGGTAGATCCTCTGTGTATGGGGGCAACACTTCTGAGATGCGACGATCATGTCGGCTCTCATGTGTGCGCGAGGATGTGAATGTGTATCCGAAGAATGCGTCCGTGGGGTCTCTGTATGCCGACTCTGCGGGGAGAGCCCGAGGGGTGTGTGTGAGGACGAGGGGAAGTTGCGAGCCGGTGGTAGTGGTGGTGGAATCCATTTCAAGGCAAGGGGTGTTGGGGAATATGGGGAGCGATAGCCGTGGTTATATACCATTCCATGTTTCCAACCAATCCGTCTCTCAGCACGATCGAAAGTCAAAAATTTAGCCGAGGAGTGGTCGATTGGCCCGCCCACATGGACAAACAACATCAAACACTTCCTTTGTGCAAGAAATTTGGGTTGATTCCTCAAAGCAACGGATGGTCTTGTCCGGTGCATTGTGATATTGGGCGTCTGGGTGATTTTATTGATTTCACTCAGAGTTTGAGCAAGCCAATCTCGCGATAGAATGGTCGGAATCGACGATGCGGTCCAATGAAATATACCTAATTTGGAAAGTGTTATTTTTATCCCAATCACCAATCCTCATCAATTTCCAGTGATAGGGGTAAATCAATACCGTGTGCGATATGCCTCTTCGGAGTATACTCTTCACGTATCACGGTTACGGCCAGGTGTCAAAATTTTCAACCATCCGGGCCTCAAGCAGCCTTGTATTTGAATTCAAATTGGACTCGGGTGCGTTCAGAGCTTGGTGCCAGAGGGCATGTTTCAGCCGCAAGCGGGTGGCGGCTGAAAGGGAATCCATCAGAGAACGATATCGTCCTTGGTGCTTTGATGTTGGCATCGCGCGCCAGTCCAGCCGTACCACCTGCGTCTAGGGGAATGGCCCCTTTCGACGGACAGAAGCGCACAACCAGCATACAGCACAATCACAGCACCACACCTGGATTGACCGCGTCCATTCATAATCAATAGCTCACAGCATAAACCATGGCTGTCTGGGATCCCTACAATGGTGGAGGCAGAAATGATATAACTGAGTAAAATTTGGAGATACTGGTACTACAGAAACCAACGCAAGTCGAATATGCGCAGAGTTGGTCGTTGTGGATGGAATACAGCACCTACTTCCTTGGTCTCTTCCGCACCTCCTCTTCTTTGCATGCGTGCAGCATGAGTTTGTTTGGATGTGTTGGTGTCATCCCAGAGTGCCCCTTCGACCAGTCGTACGACACGGCATAGGCAAAGATACTACCATTACGGTTGAAGGTGGTTGCGGCGATGGGGCCAGGCGCCATGTCGAAGGCTGGGTGGGGGTGGTCAGCATCGCCATAAGAAAAAAGGGAAAGGGGAATTACTTTTTAGCCGCGTGCGGGCATCCTTATCCCAGAAGTGGATGGTTCCGTCTGCACCTAAATGCCGTTTGATTATGGTAGGTTAAACAGCTAAGAGGCCATTTACCACATGTCGAGAATGTTCCATGGACGGGATGGAACGAAATATCATTTACAGCATAAACGAGGCCTTGGTCCTTGCCGTTGGGCGTGGCGTCACGGCGATGGCATTTAAATGAAAAATTATTTCTGTAGATGGCCGTCAATAGCGTGGACTGGAGTATTAGGAAATAACACACGTTGCATCCTTTTCTTCGACGTATCTAGGGACAGGTGAGTTTAGTTACGTGGACACAAGAAAATAGGCGCACTGGATCGCCACACGACCCTCAACACTTCCAACCGCGAATCCACTATTTGGGATGCTGTGAAACACGAGACGACGCGTGTCTGGAATTTTAATGGCGAGAGTATCGTCTATTGTCATGATAAAAATCAAGCCACAAAGACACCGAACCGGGAGAGATACCTTGTATGCCTTGTTCGGATTGCTCAGGTCAAATATCTGCACATGCCGCTCGGCGGTGCCTACCACCATCAAGGGATACTGCACATCTAATGTATAACACCGCTCCGGGAGGGTTACAGTCGCCACCGGAGTAGGGGTCCGCAAGTCCCAATACTGGTTACGTTGCTCTGCGGTCAGTGGCTATGTGGGCGTAACTGAATGGAACGCAACGCACTTTAACGGTTTTGTCCCAGCTCCCTGTCGCTAGAATGCCCGCTCCAGGGGCATCAACCCATTTGACTACTTTGATAGGCGCGTCGTGTTGGGCGATCTGTTGGGGTTGCCCTGTGGTAATGTCGAACATGCGTCCCGTGTTGTCAGCACCGCCTGAAAACACCTTGTTACCCTCCTAACAGCAACATAGATATTCCAGGTTAATAGCAGTCATGTTAAGAAAACGAGTCACATACCTTGTTCCAACAGACACTCAAAACGGGCCCCTGATGCTCATACATGGCTTTGCCTTGCGTTTGCCCTCCCGTACCGACTTCATAGATACGCACCTGTAAATCATAAAAGGGATTAAAAGGGTGTTAAGGGAAGAGCGGCCAAGGTGAAATAAAAACATACACTATTATCCCAACTGCCTACCGCGAGATAATCTGCCTGACTCGAGAAAGACAGCGACGAAATAGAATCTGTTGGTGGATCGGCGACCTCAATGTCTTTGTCCGCGGTATTGGGTGTCACGGTACTGTTGCTATTGGCGCCAACTACGGTGCTCGTATTTGAGCCACCAAAGAACGACATTCTCGGACCCGATGACGGTTTTAGGTGAAAGTACGCTGAAATATCGCGAGGGGTCGTGAGATGTTTGTCCGTGTTACACTGCGGGGCTCTTGACCCCCTAAAATATAAAACAAAGGGGCCAAAAACGACGGGCCTGGGACTCGAACCCAGAATCTTTAGCTCAGTCTGTCGATTCGAACAGCCGGAAACTAACGCGTTGCCATTACGCCAACCCACCATGTCAACTTCAGCCTACCTGCAGGTGAGCTTGTGGTGCGAGGAATGCGTTTGGATATAACCTTTCCCGAGACCATAGAATGGAAGCTGGTATTTTATTTTAAAAACCCATTTATTCAGCGATGGACGCTAGGGCAGCCATCGACTAAGGAAGTACACTACTATAAATAAATGTACCACGGTATACTGTTATGGAGGTGCTTAGCGAGGCAGCTGCAGTGGCATTGTGCGTATAAAATGAACTTCATGCCCCACGACCGTACGTGGAGTGATCACTCGGCAATATGTCAGATTGCCTTTGCTAGCAGTACATATCTCCCTGATGGGTTGCAATTCCACACGGGCTAATGGTCCAGAGGTACGACGCTTGCTTTGGGTATTGCACATCTGCAAGTGACCTGGGTTCGATTCCCGGTTGGCCCCCACTTTTTTCCCCCTTTATCATCAATTGTGACCTTAGGTCGTCGTCCGCAAATTCTGAGGAATTACACACGGATCACTTTTAATTAATCGCTGGTTTCATTGATACATAGAAAGGGTTATATCTACAACATTGTGTGCTACTTTCGGGGAAAACAGGTATCCAGCGAGTTACGAGAATTTCAGACTGGCCTTGGCCTCGAATTGGACCCTAACGAGGAAGGTTGAGGCCCAAGTCGAGACCCAATCAGAACCAGGACCTGTGAAACTCTCCAATGTTCAGATAGAAGAGGAAGAAAGAAAAGCAAATCTGGATTTAATCAAGCTGCATTTTCTCATCTCCCTCGTCTTCGGCTGGTGGGGATTTGCTCGCTGGTTCTGAGCGACTCCTGGATCGTTGACGATCGTCGATTTCATCAACATCCTGCGGAGGCTCTCGTTTGAGCGGGCGCGATGGCCCAGCAACAGGCGCAGCCCTTCCCGTCGATACCATATGTAATGGGGTGACTCCCGGGCCTCTGGTCAGGCGCTGGCTACGGATGGCAGTCTGACGGCCCCGGTTGTGTTGAGTCATTATATAAGGTTTCTTTACACCGACGGGTGGTCCGATCTTGAGATTGAGCGGGTTCGCAGCATCACTGGTGCTGGGCGGGTTGGTGCCTCCCAAGGTGGTGGATGGGGTTTCATTCACACGGAGCGAGTCTACGGTAACCCGGGATGATGAAGCAGTACTGTTGGTGCTTCTTCGATTGGTGATAAGTTTCTCTCCAGGCAGAGGGGGTTGGTTAGAGAGGCGCTTGGGTTGCAAATCAATATACATATTACAAAAGGGCCCGAGAATGACAACAGACCTTGAAAGTGAATCGGCAAGTCAGAAAACCGGATTTGCCTTTCGCCCGCCATGCCTGTCGGAAATTCAGTGTGTTAGTAAGGAGGCAAAGGTGTTCACGCACATCTACGACCCTATATAACCCGTCATAACGGTAGCTGGGCGGACGTGAGTATAGATCGACGAAAATGTGACTAAATTACCCACCCTTCGGGTGGTGCATAACGGGATTCCAGGGTGTACCCACGAATGACGCGTACCGCATGCCCTGCGGTGCATGATAGCTAATACCGCTGAGAATGCTATATCGAAATGCAAAATGAGTGGACGTACCTGCAAAGCCCGATTACCCCGCACCCACTCTTGGTCACTGTTTTGCGGGCCCGACCAATGCTGGGGTTGACCGTGAAATAAAAGTATACGCGGATGTGATAACCAAAACCCACCACTTTGCCTTTAAGCTGATCCATCTTGTCGCCTTTGGTGTTGCGTCCACCTATCATACAGTTAGTAAGGACTTGGCACGTATATCGATGGTCCAGTACCTTGGCCGGTGTAAGTACTGGTGTGTGGGTTAATGCAGGAAACCAAAAGATAATAATTGTGCATACATGGTCTCCCCATGATCCTCGTCATCCTCATAGCCACCAGACCTATGAATTTCATGCTGTGTAGGTAGGCTACCCCACTCGCGACAATCATCATACTCACAGGACAACAGAAAAAGCACCATCAGTCATATTGCCATGGATTCCACCTTGTAGTGGGGCGTGCACGCCTGCTTGGCTGCATTCAAGTCGAGTTGCCCAAGTTGCGCCCACAGGTATACCCGGGATGTCGCCATGAACTTTCCTAGTGGAATATGTAAGCAAATATAACAATTGATACATGAGGTACGCACGGGTTTCTAGTCCGTTGTGTTGATCTTGCTCGAATTGTTGGAGCACCTCTTGAGGAGCTTTCGCGAGACATTTTGCGATTCTAGTTGAGATGATGAGAGTTGAGTTAGAGTTGTTGATTCTTCTAATTTGAGTCACTTGGTACTGTCAATGTCATCGAAAACCTCATTGTTCTCCCAGCACGTGGTCTGGAGTGCCGACTCTGCCGACTCTGCCCCAACAACCACCCACAACGCTGATCTTCGCTGATTTTCAAACACTGACGTAAACAGCAGTTGTAATCAATTTATAACAGGTTTACTCAAGTCTGCGTGCATAATCCATTTATCCATTATAAATTTACAGTTCCTGCCCTGCTACCACGGGCCACATGTTACTAAGATGCGGACTCCTCAATGTTCAACTTTCAACATGGAACATTTTCCCTCGATAGTTAATTGGATAGCTATAAATAATCCGGGGCCTCTGACTCGACTCATCTCTTCGTATGGAATCCCATCAAAGAAGTATTTCCAATCTAAATTTATCGTTGGAGCGGCAAATTATTTCCCATTTTGGGGGCTGTTGCATCTTAGTGTGCCCTCAGGTCACAGGTGGCAGCGGTATATAGTCAATAGAGATGACGAGCCTTACCCAGGAAGCGTGGCTGGATTTTGAGTCTACGCTACTCCCGAAGCTCTACCGAAACTCTACCAGCACTCGTATCCATTATATAAATAATTAGGCCAACCCAACCAAGCCCCCTTCATCCATCCCAGCTATCCCCCATGGAAATTTAACCGGAAAAATTGCGGCAGTACTTGTCGGCTCTCTGCCGGGCTGTATCTCCATCCCAGCAGTGGTGACCTGTGGGCAGCGATTATGATTGTAATGTATGTAGGAGTAGTAAGTGATGGTACGAGGGATATGAGCGCTGTGCCACCCACTCATTTATTGCTTCGTAAATGCCGAGGTATTTCTGGTTATACAGTTGCGGACAGTGAAACCCAACCAATTTAATATCTCAGCAACAAGATTTTTTGGCACCAAACTAATTTCAGATTTGGATTCAGCTCGTCAAAATACGTCAAAAAACACACCTCCGGGGTTTTCCCACGATGTTTGAGGGTGGCCAAAATTTTTGGTCAAATTTTCGGCAATTTAGCGCGCTCTTGGGGTGATTTCGTTGGGAGAAATCAAGCAAACTTCAAGGCTCACAGCTCCAGGACTCAAAATTCCATCTTTAGAACTCTGTCTACTGGATTACAGCGGTTATTCAAGTGCCTCCAAGCCCGGGCCCTGAACAAACTCCAGTGATATTGCCGCTTACATACACAACTCTTGCCTCAGCACTCCCCAGCAGCCTCAGAATCTTTTGCCATTGAAAATCACTCCTACTTCAGTACTGCATATATTTATTGCCAAGCATCTGAGAAATATTATTGTAACTTAAAACATTGTATGCAACAACAGGTAGCAAAGGAACCTGAAAGGTAAAACTAAGTTGTCGGTGACTTGTCACTCACAAAGCCCCAGGCCCGGAGTCCTAGCATGGTAAGCAAATCAGTTGTGAGGCTATGCTATATAGGGTGGGGTTCACGTTTGCCACGGTTTGGGGGCCAAGGAGGGCATTTTGGTGGCATCAGACCACATCCATATTCGGTGGGAATTCCCGTATTTGGCAGGACCCTACCACATTCTCTATTAAATTATGGCCTCAACTCTTGAGATTCTCTCCTCATTTGAGTAGAATTATGTTCAGCGCATCAAATGCTTTTATTCCGCATTTTTTTGTATTTTTAGCTATTTTTTAGGGGATGTGGCCAAATTTTTGGGGGGTTGACCGAAAAATATACAAATAATGGAAATCGGCTCGTGCAATTCAACTCAGCTGGTCCTGGAAGTGCCATTTTTGCGGTTTTTAACTATTCTAGGGGGTTGATCCATCCCCCGTAAATCGGTTAATATATTTGTTGTGTTTTGCTGTCCGCAACTGTAGATTACATGGAACTAACCTATCGATCTCAGTCATTGGAGACAACCACACTTCTGCATCCAAATACCACTCTTCACAAGCATATGAGTGGGGTGCACATTGCTTTTCGCTACGCTAATTTTATGAGCGCTGTATAATTATTCTTCACGGGTTCGGGTTCATGCCTAATTATAAATCTGGACGTCTGTCGTGCTATTAGTATTCTTTTTTCCTAATGGTATAGTTGCTATATAAATCGAGAGTATCTCTCGAAGGGTTATCCATTATTTAGGTATGGTGCGTAAACATGAGTGTGTTATATACATGAATGGTCGTACTGGCGTCAAGCGGTATAAATAAGGGTCAGAGGTTTGGCGTTTACCCCCTGTTGGTAAAATATCGAGTGGGGGTCACTGAGGCGATTAAAAGGGCAATCCGTACTATTTAGGATGAAATTTATGGGCATGAACAAACTATGTGCGTCGCATCCCGTTCCGGTTTAATCTCAGAGGTGCAGGTGTGTACCGAAAAACCGACGCGTAAATATAGGGTTTGGCCAAGCCTCGCGGATTCCTTCGTGCGGATGTGGGTTACACTGTGTTGTTGGCGGATCCGTACTTTATATATGCTGGATCGGTCTTGGGTGTGTCTGGGTGTAGCTGGAGCCTGCCTTCCCAGAGTGCTGCGGAGGACCGCGAGGGATCAGAGTGGGCAGGATCAGAGAGGCTACCGCGTTGGTATCCGTGTCCGGTGGCAATGGTTCCTACCATTAGGGTTGGTACCATAGTTAGGACAGATGGCCTGCAAAAACGTTACAAACAGTCCGGCGATGCATAAAAATATCGTACAATGTAAGTGTTTTCTCCTGGCTGAGACGTGCTGACCGGCTTTTAATGACGAAGTTTGAAGACATGATGCGACCACCGCGAACTTGTGCAAAGATACCAAGGTTGTCGCGGACCTGGGTGATGACGCCGTCCCATCCTTCGGCATCGGGCCTGGCAGTGGGTAGAACCTCTTTTTTCCCGAGCAGTCCCAGGGCATTGAAGAGTCGCTCAAACGGTTCGTTGGGAAGCAGACGGATGAGGACACCGAGAGGAATTGATACAACACCAAGTGCGATAGAAATTCCCCACTCACGACCCGGAATGGGCGTGACCTGGAAAGCGGCGCCGCCAACAAACACGATGATAACTTGAATGGCAATTTCTGTTTATCCAAATGGGGTGAGTGGTTAACTATAAGTAGTCATGATAGGGACAACGAACCAATCAAGGTAATGATAATGAAGTAATAGTTCTTGGTAATGCCTTCGAATATA